AGAGATAGTGTAGGTGATGTTAGGTTCTTTATAATAAGTTCTATATACAGGAGAGAACACAAACACCTGTATAGTTTTGTAGGTTCGGTTTACTGGATAAGAGTATGTACACAAAGGGGAGTAGTGCTCTCCTTGGCTAGGCTCCTTGTCAACTGCTATAGACGACGTATGGCAAGTGATACATTAGCAGCTTCCATACGTCGCCGGGCACATTAATTAAGCATGTGGGATATGGTAATAACATTGCCACACGCTGCTAGCTAGGCTGAATAAATAATACATAAATGGAGCACATACGTAATATACATACATAATATATATACATACATAATATAATCCAGCACATGCATAATATACATACACCTCCTCCCCCTATACGCTCATATAAAGTCTTGAAGCGGACCTTTTCTGGATCCGTTCTGAGCGTCGAGGACTTCATCACTGGGAAGGTATGGGACTCAACACTGGTGGCGGGGCCAGCAGAAGCTTGTGTTACAGGGGCGGAAAACAGCGGTTTCCTCCACCACACGACCACTGGGTAACCGCACCTGGTAGTCCGTGACCTACAGGACCCATGACTACGCCTACTTTGTCCCAACGTAGGGAGGTCAGGTCCTGAACACGGACTTGGGTGCCGACACTCAACCTGGGGAGAGAACGGGCGTGGTCGTTGTAGCGGGCGACGACGTCCTGAACACGTTCGGCGGCTCGGCGATCACAATCCTCTGTCTTGGCCTGCCACTCCTTGGAGAAGGATTGAGGGTGAGCAGGGACACAAGAACGAAGGGGGCGCCCATACAAAACCTGGGCAGGGGAGCGTCCGGTGTAGTTAGGTGTGTTGCGGAGTTCAAGAAGACCCCGGTCGAAGGCCTCGCAGTCAATGTTCCCAGAAGGGGCCACCTTAAGGATGAGGTGCTTCAGGGATTTGACAGCAGCCTCAGCGTGGCCGTTGGACTGCGGGTAATGGGGCGATGACAACACATGCCGGACTCCCCATCGGTCAAGGAACACAGCAAAGTCCCGGCTTGTGAACTGAGGCCCTCCGTCGGTTCGCAGGCGTACAGGAACGCCCACGTCACAGAAGTAGTGGCGGAACTTGCTGATGGTGGCGGCAGACGTCGTGTCATTACCGCACTTGATGACAACCGGCCAGCCAGAGAGACGGTCGACGATAACAAGGAAGGACTTTCCTGACACACAGAAAAAGTCGGCCGACACAGACTCAAAGGGGCGGGTGGGGTTGTCGTCACTCATGAAGGGTTCCTGCTGCTGGCTGGGTTGTAGTACGTGGCGGGGCTTACACTTTTTTTTTTTTTTGTGGCCTCCAGCCTCCCCCAATAGCCACACCTTCGCCACCATTTATTTACCTTAATATTAAATATCCTAATACACAAGAAACTATCCTATCTGTGTTAAATTAGTTGAGCCGCAGATCCATGCGGCATTCGGTGACTGTAGCCTCATAGTCGATATCTGCAGCAGTTGTCGGAGTAGGGGCAGAAGCTCTCGTTCCCCTGAGGCAGAGCAAAGCCGACCGAAGGAGAGAGAAGGACAGTCGACATCTCATCCAGGCTGTGACATAACTTCTGGGCTGCTGCTTCTGTTCGGAGATCAGCTCCGCGAGTCTGGCGTAGAAACATCTTGCACTTGGGCCCATCCCACCAGAGGTTGTGAACACTAGAGGAGTGAAGCTGCCTTGATCAACATTTTGAATTCTCTCCCCATATGCCCTTCTCTTGTCATTCTCGTTCCTCCTATGCGCAGCATCGAGAGCTAGGTTACGGTGACAAACGGCCATGGGATCAAAAATCCTGATGTCGAAGAAAGCTCGCTGTCCCCGCGTCCAGAATCCTCGAGCACTGACGTCCACACGGACTTCGTTAGATGTGTTTGAAGTCCTGTGTTGGAAGATCTCGCCATCCAGTGGAAGGAGGGTCGGTTCTACCATGACGTCCCGGCAGATTTCCTTCAACATATTTGCTGTGAGATCCCTTACCTCGTCATGCCTCATGCATATGAAGCCCCCCTTCTTGCAAACCATGGCGTGATCGCCATCATAGGAATAGCCACACACGCATTGGGAGGGCAAACCATCTACTGGCCAACCGTACCTTAGAGCAATGGCATCTGTAAATTCTTGTTTGTTAAGGCTGAAACCATTTGCCCTTATCGGTAACGTAGTTAGCCAGTTCGAGGCGCCCACCTCCTGCGCTATAGCTACTTTTTTTTGTCAAATTTTCTGGAACCAGCAGCAATAGTTGCTGCAACATGTCATTTTGGCAGTGCTGCCGATCTGTTGTAATGGACCTACGGATCTTATTAACTTCGCTGGTGTCCACTTCCCCTGTTGCATTCTGGGCTATTATGTGGTCAGTGAGGGCTGCCGTGAGCTTAAGTGAATTTTGATGTTCAAAGTCAGCAGTCTCCTCTGGATTAGTTAGTCCCATCCCTCCCAGTCTTGGTGGAAGTGCAGGAAGTGTTCTTTCTACTAGGGTTAAGTCGTGGTGTTTCACTAGTTTGGGAATGAACTTGACACTGATTGCTTCTTCCAAAGGGTGGAGGAGGGGTCGGATCTCAGGGATGGTACGCATCAGGTTGTTCCAACGATGCTTGACTCCATGTGTGAATGCTGCAAAGGCCGCATGTGGCTCTGTGTTAGCAATCTCCGATAGAGCATGGATTTCGCTAACCCACTCATTCACCTTTCCCCATACGTACTGGGTCTTGAAGTCCGTAGTGCCAATTACTGCGCCTAGATGTCTTTGGCCGTCCTTAGCTATTTTGACCTCACTTTCGCCGAAAACCTCCACAGCCCGATCATAATGATCTGGCTTCACGATGAGGAAGGATTTGCTGGCGTTAGGGTGGTACCCTATATGTGGACCTCGCGATGTTACCAGGTCCCACCACTTTTTGATGTCCTCCACTTTTCCTGCTCCTGTGAGGTCATCAGCATATGCCACTTGTTTGACCCCAGTTGTTTCATACTTTATTTCTTGTTGGAGCACTGATAGGCCTATTGCATACATTGCCATTGCAACGGGGTCCCCCTGTGTTGTTCCCTCGGTCGACTGTAGGATGGTATCACCTCGTAGAGCCTTGTTGTTTACTATGTAGAGGTCTGAAGGATTCCTATACGAATTTTCAACATACATCGCAAAGCTTGGACACTTGATCTTGATGTTGTGCAGTGCAGCCTTGCAGTTAAGTATGTTGAATGCGTTTGAAGCATCCACCAGGAGAACGGCCTCACAATCACGCTGCTCAAATATCAATCTCATGGCGTGAATGGCCGCCTCCCCACCAGCCTGGTGGCCAGCACACACTTGTAGGTTCCCTGCTGCTGCCCTGACATCATCCTTTACCACCTCCATTATGCATTTTCTGATGATCCGCCTCAGCACTTCCCCCACCCCTATAGGTCTACATCCTGGTTTCTTTTCCAGAGGAATAAGGCAGCAGGCCGTCAGGGCCTGGAGGTGATGGCAGCAAGAGGATGCAAGCTTTCTTGCAAGGGCGGCAATGGCAGTGCAGAGATCGCTTGCTACAGGGCCAAACTTGTTTGTGCTGAGGATGACTCTCCAACCGTTTGCATCCAGACCTGAAGGGCCGGCTCCTCCACGAGTCTTCAGTGCCTTTTTCCACACCATCTCTCCTGTTATTTTCTCGAACAGGACAGCATTTGGTGGGATATAGTCACCATGGAGCCTGATGCCTTCAACTTCACTTGCAGGGGGATGTTTCTCTTTCAATAGTTTTAATGTCGCACTGTTTATTGGCATCACTCCACCGGAGGATTCATGTGTTAGAGATCTTACCGCGAGAGACACTTTTCCCACACGCATTTTGTTTACAAATTTTCTTGCCACGTCATCGGTGTTTTGCTTTCCGTCACCCGTAGATTTTAGTCTCTCCTGCAGTGTTCTTGCTTCACATAGGAGATCATCTAGGGCCCCAGTCCGCCACATTGTCGATCTTCTCTTCATTGCTGCCACATTTTCTTTGTGCTTAGCCTTTGTGTGTGTCCTGTTACGAGTTAGGGATTTAGAATATAGTTATACGTCTACCCAGATCCCAACAGGTAACAACAATAAAAAAAAACAAAGACAATCGGACTATAAAAGGGTAGACAAAGGATGCGAGTTTTCGTTGTATATAATAAAGTACCATAAATCCATTAACAAAATATTCAGCTTATAAATTACCCTTAACCAAACTTAACCTAAACATTAACATTATATACATATTAATAAAACATAAAACAATCTTGAAGCAAGTGGACGTGGGGAAGTAATACAAGATACATGTACTTAAGTGAGGAGCTGAGATGGCTGACGAGTAAGGCTGAGTATTGTAGAAGACGGTAGGTAGTCACTGCATGTAGGTTTAGAGGATAGATGATCCTGTGGTCACTTCCCAGAGCCAAGTTCTCTCTCCTCGAATTGGAGCTGACAAAGAAGACTTTGAGGAGGTGACGCAACCCAGGATATGGAGAAGGGAAACCTCGGAGTGGTAACTAAGACGAGTCATACACGTGTCTCGTCCCTAGATGGCGTTGCTCGTGGTGGTGGGTAGGTAGATCAGGACAATAGATGGCGTGGTTCGTAGTGCGGGGTGGAGGGGTTCGTAACACCCCCCCTCCAAAGACCTCCGTAGCGCTGGCGCGAAGGAGGTGATCAACTAGTGCGTCTGGAGAGTAGCTGCTGCATTTCCACTGGAGCTCGGGATAAGGAGTCTGCAATCAGGTTATCGACCCCCTTTATGTGCCGGACTTGTAGATTATAGGGCTGGGTGAGGAGAGCCCAGCGGAGGATTCGCTGGTTGGAGGTC